ATATTTTTAATACATTTAATACTACGTCTTTTTCACCTGGGCTGGAGTTAATAATCAATGTAAACTGTGCTGAGTGTGCACTTTACCCCCCGTTTCTGTCTCCTCTCACATGCAAAAACACCAGACAATTATATATCCATCAATCAATCTCAACTCCAGATTTATGAGCCGTCTCCAGTCTACAAAGAAACAGAAAGAAAGATTCAGAGAAATAACGACATTAGGGTGACAGAGGATGACATTGACAAATTAAGAGAAATAGGAGGGGTTTTATTAGCAAGTTTGGTCCCACATCCTATGAATTCTCAGACAGTGAAGTGACAGAGACAAGAGATCCCAGACGCCACAGTTAGCACATGAAGATTGTATTATGAAGTGAGTTTGAAGAGAGTCAAATCAGTCTCATACAGTAAAATGCTTAATTCAGAGATTGAGACATACATTCTAAGAAAAGTCTGTGAAAATATGGTCCAATGTACAATTTTTACCAGATGTTTTAGCCATATTTTGAATTTTGCATTGCATTGTGTACTTTCAAAAAATCTGTGAAATAACATTGAAGTACTACAATCAGTTTTTTATCTTTATAATGTACCACCATAAAACACATGTAGGTGGGAAAGAGAAAGCTGATGAATCAAAGTTCATCAGAAATATATATTAATATAGAAGATGCACAGTGTCATACAAACACAAAACACCATCACGGTAACACGCAACACTGAAATAATGCACTAAACATTAATGTAACATAAATTCCTAATGTACATAACTAATAACAAAGAACTAAGAAGAAACATAATTATTTAAATGAAAAAACATCAAATGTGAAGTGTCATACAGGGAATTTTGGAACATTTTGTTTTCACTGTAAATTCTAAGATTACTTGTTCTGTTTCACATACAAAAACTGTAAATTTAACAACATTTTTCTGTCAAATTAAATGCATCATTAGCTTTATTACAGTTTATTACAAGGAAATTTACCATTAACCAATTAACAGGTTTTTACTGTTTTTTTTGTTTTTTTTTTACAATCTTTTACTCTTAAAAAATACAAACATTTGTACATTGTGTTGTAGGGCTGAAAGAAATGTGCATAAACTGGAAAAGATACTGTTTTTGACAGGATATTATCCATTTTTATACAGATTTTTTTTCTGACTGTATCTGACCATTTGACCTCTTTTTCTCATACATGCATAAATACAGTCATACATTCAATAATGTGTGGTGAAGATCCATGTGTGATGAACTCAAACTGTGTTTGACAGACAGAGGGTGGTGTTTTTGATCTTGAGACTATATTGTGACGAGCAGTAGGCGCTGTTTTGGTTCACAAAGATGTGGAACGAAATGACAGAAAAGAAAAGAAAAATTAGCTCTTCAAACTGAACTCCACCGCTAGACCTAGAGAGAGATGGAAAGAGAGATTGAGGTGAAGACAAAAGATTGTGACCAGGGCAGGAGGAGAACTCTCTGCACAATCTAACACATATGTTGTGGGCTAACGGTGTTGTAGCCCAAGGGCACAGACAGCAGCAGCAGCATGTGAAAAAGGTTTTCCACCCAGACCTCACTAGAGAGAGGAAGAAAGGGAGAGGGGTTGAACTGAGATGACTGAGAGGTTGTGTTTTTGCGGAGGGTAGAGAAACCGAGAAGAAAGAGAGATGGAAAGATATGACAAACATCAGAGCCATCTGTGGATTAACACAATTAACACCTCAGAAAAAGCAGGTCCGTCAGCACCTCTCTGCTGCTCAAAGGACGCCTTCAAAGAGCCCAGCATGGCCCTCAAAACTCTCACTGCTGCCCAAAATAAAAACACACTCTCACAGAAATACTGTGTGTGAATATTGTAACTCGATTTAAATTAAGTAAGTGGAATAAGGAGGTAATGAAATAGAGGGAGAATCTGATTTAGCTTTAGCACAAGCGTGGCATGAATGGCGTTAAGTGGAGTTTTGTTTCGTTCATGGTGAGTTCAGACACTGATACTTTCCTCTAACATGTGGGCTTTCCACCTCGGCAGTCACAGGGACCCCCACTATAAAAAAAAAAAAATGGTAATACTTGGTATTACTTTCTTGGTTATAATAAGTTGCATTAAAAAACAGATAAATTAATTCTTTTATTCAGCAAGGGTGCATTAAATTGATCAAAAGTGACAGTCAAGACATTTATAATGTTACAAAAGATTTTTATTTCATAAATGCTGTTTTGAACTTTCTGTTCATCAAGCATGAAAAAATGTATCGAGAAGCACCAAATCAGCATATTAGAATGATTTCTGAAAGATCATGTGACACTGAAGACTGGAGTAATGATGCTGAAAATCCAGCAGAAATAAACATTTTAAAATATATTAAAACATTTCATTTAAATTGTAAACAGTATTTTTGATCAAATAAATGCAGCTTTGGTGAACGTACAAGAAACTTTGTTCAAAATGATACAAAATCTTACTGATGCCAACTCACTTTAAAGTGAACAGTTAAACATTACATCAGTTTAGCGTTAAATCATTTAAAACGCTTTAAAAATAATTGTTTATTATATTTATTTTATATTTTTTGGAAACTAAAATCACTGAATCGGGTGATGCAACATTAAATCCTCATTATTATAAAACTACTCACAATAACTGAAATAATGGATTGTCCAAAATATTTATTATTTATCTGAAGTGACTTAAAAATGTTAAGCATAACAAGCAATTTGTCACAGAGCTAACAATATTCATAGTATACATACATAGAATTTATTTGAACATTTGCAAAATTACATGAAAAAAAAGCAGAACAAACACAGGCACATTGATGTCATGCAGTGACCCTCACTCTAAGCATACAATTGAAACAAAAAGTTGCTTCTGGCCCCTTTTTCATTCTTGTACAATGTGTGGACTGGGCTAGTGCTGACTGTAGGGCTTAGTGACTGTGTGTGAATATGTGTGTGTGTGTGTGTGTGTGTGTGTGTGTGTGTGTGTGTGTGTGTGTGTGTGTGTGTGTGGCAGCCGAAGGCAGGAGGTTGAGCCACTTTTGTACAGTCCTACCTGAACACATGTGGGAGAGAAACATAGTACAGATCTCAGGAGCAAATCAACAGATTTAGTGACAAGGTAAGATATAGCAACATACACACAAGAAGGGTATAAATGACTTCTTAAGAAAAAGTAATTAATTTGGGTATAAAAAAGTGGTTTCTTTTAAAAAATATAATATAAAACAAACTTTTAAAAATGATATAAAATATTGTACGTGTTAAATCCAATCTTAGATATGGATTCCTCTAGTGAGATACATTTTGATAATAATTTTAAAAAAGAGAGCTCACTAACAGATTTTTTTTGTGACTGCCACTCATAAACAAGTTTTGAAACATGAGTGACAGCAGCTAAAAGGAGTGTGATGACAGCTGTCACATGACTGAAAGCCACAATCACTTCAGTTGATCTTAAGAAACTTTTACTGCAACACTAATTCTTTTTATTTGTCTCGTGTAGACTTTTTTTGGACAATCCTTTTGTGAGGTGATCATTTTGTTTATCCTTATAAGAGTTCTTAAGATTTTATCATACATTTAGTGATTTGGTTGGAGCTTGTAATCCATGCCAAAATGTTTGTTGATAACTAAGGTTGTATGTGTCAAGCTTTTATCTTTATATACTCTTTCTATAATCTTTCAAAAAAAAAAAAGTCTTTATTTGCGTACTATCGCCATCTAGTGTTCATTTGTTCTGGAGTGTTGTCTGACATATGACAGCATATAGAAAAAATAAGAATCATAAAAGAAAAATAACTAGACCAAAGAAAGAAGTGATCTAATGTTGTTACATGTTTCTTTCTAGACTGTGAACGTCATACATATGCAGAACTGGAGTGTCGTAAAGATATGAACATATTGGGCTCTAGTGGGTAAGTGACTAGCAGTTTGCTAACTCAACAACATTAGTGATATTATTGAGCATACATCTGCCGGAAATACCTAGTCAAGATGCTGATGCCAAAACCAAAAGCTTTATGAGGGGCAAACCAACTACAGGGAGATGACTAGATAAGAAATACAAAAGCAAAATAGGCCATGCATGAGACAGTGAGACCTGGGGCCCGTTTCAGAAAGGAGGTTAAGTGAAAACTCTGAGTATGTTAACCCTGAAATGAGGGAAACTCTGGGTTTTCCATTTCAGAATGGGAGGTTTGTCAAACCCGAGAAAGCAGGGTATGTCAAGCCCGTTTCTGAAAGAGAGGTAACTTATACTCAGAGTCAGTTACCATGGTAACTTACTCTATGAACCTAACCTGGTCGGGAGCAGGTTTTCTTCGGTAAACCCAGTTTCTTTCTGTCTCCTCCCCCTTTTTAAAGCGCAAGCAATGTTTAATTAAGCTCGGGGCGTTTTTTGGTATTTTCGCCTAAATTTAACATACTCAAATTCAAATGTTTACCCTGCACACATACAATGGAGGAAATGAAAAAAAAATGTGAGTTTCCTTTGCAAAAACAGGCTTTATAAAACACATTAACCCCACAATCATATATTACTCTGTGCCATAAGCACTTTAATTGATTATTAATTTAATTGTTTCATTTTTATGTTTTTCTCAGTAGTAATATACAAAATGGCACAAGCGAATTGGACCAAATTTCACATATTGTGTTATTCTACAATCAGTTGAATTATTATGCACAAGACTGCACAAGACTATTATGCACAAGACTGTCTACATTATAAGTATATCTGGTCTATCACATTCTAACATAGAATCCATATCCTCCAGCTTTATATCATTCCATTTATGTGCATTCTGTATTGGGATACTGCTTCACAGCATCTCTCACCTCATCAGTTGACTCACTCCTGTATCCAGCATCTCTCCATGACAACAAGGTTGCATCATCCCTGGTCCAGAGCGGAGCTAATTTGCTATCCGGCAGCTAGCTGTAACATTCAGAGCGTCAAACAATCACATATCAATTCATCCACACACCACTGTAACCATACATGTATATTTACTGTATATTCACTGAAATCCATAATGTACTGTACTTTTCTGTCAATAAACAGTGTATCATAATGCTAGCCGCGCTATCAAGTTTCCGAACAATGCTTACAGTATCAAAAACATGCAAACACACGCTCATATAGCCTTACCAGACGCGCGCTCATTCCTCTCCACGGCGCCGCGGAATGTTCTTCACCATATATAACTTTATAACATATATAACACCATATATAACCGTATCCGGGTCCGCAGAGTTTCTAAATACTTAATTCATTCATGCACGCTGCAAAAAGGCTTTTCTTACTAAGTTTTATTTTTCTTATTTCAAGTACAAATATCAAAAAATTCTTAAATCAAGATGGATTTTCTATATAAGAAAATGATACTAGATATTTAGTCTTGTTTCCTGGGGGGATCTAAATTAAGTGCATTTTACTTAAAGGGGTCATATGATGCGATTTCAAGTTTTCCTTTCTCTTTGGAGTGTTACAAGCTGATTGT